GGCCTTGAATACCTCCAGGGATGGGACATCCACAGCTTCTTTGGGCAACTTTTTCCAGTGCTTCACCACCCTCCAAGTGAAGAATTTCTTCCTTAGATCCTACCGAAATCTAGCCTTCTTCAAGTATAAAGCTGTTGTCCTATGTCCTATCACTACACACCCTTGTCAAAAGTCCCTCTCCAGCTTTCTTGTAGGTCTCCTTTAAGTACTGGAAGGCTGCTCTAAAGTATCCCTGAAGCCTTCTCTTCTTCAGACTGAACAACCCCAACTCTCTCAGCCTGTCTTCATAGGAGAGGTGCCCCAGCCCTTGGATCATCTTTGTGGCCCTCCTATGGACCTGCTCCAAAAGTTCCACGTCCTTCTTATGTTGGAGTCCCCAGAGCTGAACTCAGTACTGCAGGTGGGGTCTCACAGGAGCAGAGTAGAGGGGCAGACCTGGCTCTTCTGTGTGAGGCAGTCACACAGTACGGAGGTGCCCCATCCTATGGCAGATGTGTACTAACACATACACTGACATGGGACATTCACAGCAGGTACCCTTGGGGGCTTCCATTAAAGATTTACATAGTGGAATACAAGAACTGAACTTATCAAAGTTTGATAGAATTACAAACTTCTCCAAAAATTGAAGGGGGTTAGCTTTTTAAATCTTTGCCTGTCTTGTTGCAAAAATGAGCCTCATTTAAGAGCTGTCTTTACTCGTCATTTGGTAAAGATTAAAATTAAAGTGATTAAAGTGATTAAACATACTATGTGAAAAGAGAAGACCAGGGTGTAGTTAGGAATAACATCACTTTCAGTGTAGCACGAAGTGAGCAATTTAGCAAAATGGTTAAAATATTTCACCCTGGGTATATTCTTCCTCAGAGTCAGGGATCATCTGGTAACTGCTTGAAAAGCAGATACAGAGGGGAAAAATTACAGGAAGAATCAAAATCAAATGTAAGATGCTTGGTTGAACTTGAGAAACGCTCTGATAACAGCTTCAAGCATTCAAATGGAAAAATGCATCCCTGCTTAATATTATTGATTTCATGTCTGGAGAAAAACCCACAGAATATTGTGTCCAAGCTGCTGGAGATGCTAACCGGAGGCAGGCAGACGAATGAGGTCAAAGTCATTATTTTGTTCAAACAATGAAACTGAGGCAAAACAAAAAGCTGCTAAAAAAACTTCTGATGAAATCAGTTTCACTCTCTGAAACACATTAATTTTATTATGCCTTGATGATAATGGAGTAACTCTAAAAGTCTTTTGGTGAAATCTTGGCTTTTTAACCTGACAGGAATTTAATTTTTGACTTCAACGGGACTTTACCATGCAATTGCAATCTGTGCATTCAAAACGCTTCTGTGACCAAGACCCATCTCTTGTTTTGGTCTGAACTCGGGGGACTGATACTCTTGACTATCGTTTTATGGCACTTTTATAAAGGACAGGAGTAATTCACAGGACTTAGCCTCCATCTAAGGAAGGCAGGTAGCTGTCAAGGGAGAGTCAAACTCCTGGAAAAAGAGGCTTGTTTAAAAAAATCTCCCCTTCTCCATTAACAATAGAGAGATACCCTGGATGTCAACCTTCTCACCCCCAAAACTGGGATATATTAACCAAGGCTATATGTCTATTTGCATGCAGTGCCTTATGTATTTAGCAGTGAGCAAAAGGAGGTTTTTGATCAAGGCACAGAATTAGCCTACATACAAGAGGCTCCACAGAAAGACACTGAACTTACAGAATGAGTGGAAGAATAAATTGCCTTTATAGAGCTAGCCACAAAACATGCGATCGGCATGTTCAGTTTTTCAGTTTGCAAAATGTTCTCTACTCGAGCACACCTCCCAAGCAAGATTTTTTTTTTTTTCATGTTGAGACTAATCAGGTCCCAAGAGTCTGGGAACATCCTAGAAGAGGATTATATCTCAAATTATAATTATCCATTGGCCATTATTTTCTCTTCGGTTAAGACAGAGATGAGAATTAAATATCATTATATGCAGAAATGAAGAGGAAATTAAAAGGGTGGCAGGTTAGAAGCAAGAAGCAATCTTTTCCTAACCACAGGGCTGAAGGAAATGAACGCTTAGTGACAGCACCTCTGGCAGTCCTGGGTGTTGAAGTCTCTGTTAACACCAGCCCAGGATCCCGGGCTCTATGTATCGCTTGAGCCTGACATTTGGCCTTTCCTGCCACAGAGCATAGCTGGGAAATGTCAACAGCCATAACAAATATTACCGCATGTACCTGGCAAGTCACTCATGAAACACCCTTATGACTGTTTACAGAGCCTTGTAAGATGGTTTTGCTTTCTGGAAATAACAGATGTACTGGCAATACACTAAATTTTCTCTTTTTTTTTTCCCCCTCAGATTTGTGTGTGAACTGCCATGGTATGGAGGGTAACATTGAAATTGCTCCAGACTCTTAGTTAACTGTGTCCAAGTCTCCTGCAAAAACGAGAAAAAAAATAAGATTGGTCTATTTATAGCTTGGGCATTTTTCAAGAGAGATATTTTTATTTTTCCAAAGGTGTCCAGATCCTTGTTTCCCTTTCAGGATGGTCTCATGATGTGGAAATGTAGAAGACACACCAGGATAGGTCTAAGTATATATTTTCATCTGTATCTGCTTTTTGCTAAGAAAAACATCTCCAGGTTTTATTTTAAGAAACAATATTTCCTGATGTAAAATATGATGCAAGCCAGTGCCATTAGCAGAAAGCCTGAGGAGTGCAGAAAATAATCCTTTTAAGATTACAGTATGGGCTTTCTAGATGTGTATGCAGTGTGCCTGAAGTTTCTACTGTCCTTTCTAGGAGCCTGATTTTCTGCAGAGTAAGTAATCTAAATATGCCATAGTGTGAAGATCAGATTGTGTGTTCAGTGTATAGACATACATTGCTATTTTTTCCTCACCAACACCTCCCACTATTGCTCTGCATGTAAAGGTATTTCATTTGCTGAATATAACCTGCCAACTGTAACAAATATGTCCTAATCACATTATATGCATCACAGTTCACTAACAGCCACGCAGGAGCTACCAAGCTTTTTTCTCTTTGATCATCCCAGATTCGTACACTGGCCAAGGGCAAGCACCATGAAGTCTGCTGAGAATAGATGTAGTGAGACAACCTGCGAGGCACAACACCTGAGCACTACATATTTGATACGAACGACAATTGTTTAAAAGGCACCTCAACTTCCATTTTACAAAGCCCATTACTGTAGCAAATGCTTTAACGTCCATTCTTTCCCTCTATTTCTCTATTTCCATTTGTCCTGCTATGCCTTCTCTGATTTCATGGTGGCATAATTGTCGAATACATGGCTGCAACTGTGACTCAATAACTGTAGCTGTCTTCCCTCTTCACCACTAACTTAGGTATTGGCTTCTTTTCTTAGGAGTCTAATATTGCTATGAGGTCATCATGGGAAGAGCTCATGGCAAAGAGGGGCAGAAAGCAGAGTTTCTATCTTATGGAAAAATCAGGCATTTAAACAATCCCTGCAATGACAAACTGGGACAAAATATTACATTTTGAAAAATTTACCATTAACTAAAGATTCTGAAATATTTTGGTTTAGATATCTGGGAACGATGTACTGAAACACTCTCTTTACACAATTGAAATGTTTCATTTTAACGCTATTTCAACCTTCATATCATATAAGAATAAAACTTTCAGACTCTTCTGTTTTATCCAGTTACATGTGAGCCAGAATGATAAAAGTTGAAGCATTTAGGTAATTTTCCTTTAAAACATTTCAATCTTGTAAAATAGTGTTTCATCCGCATTTTTGGAGAGGAAGCCAGTTCCTTTAGAAAGTTTCTACGTCCTACGTTTCTAAATTCCTTTAGGAAACCTGCAACCAGCTGTTGTACAAAGACAAGATTTTAGGTAGCAAACATGAGCATTTCAAGATCATGAGTGGATTAATGATGTCCTTATTTTGGTTTGCAAACAGAATCTTTCAAAGGGGCAAGGAGACGCTGCGCAGACAGACTGCAATTGCAGATTTGTTGGAGCTATCAGACAATATTGAGTGTCTCCTGTCCAAACGCTGAGAGCTATGAGGCTCTATCGACTTCACTGCGGAAACAGACCACAATGAATGAGATTCAGGAAAGGATTAAAACAAGAAGACATTTCCTTATCACAAAGCAACGTACAAAATTTGAGCCTTCCATCCAGGTTTAAAATAAAACTGCTTTCCTGGCTGTGCCATTAGACTAAAATAGATGTTAAAGTATATTAGTGTTCAGATTGTTGCTAGTTCTCTTGGATAGGAGGAAGATATCATATACCATCAGTTTTAATTTTCATATGTTTATGACAAAGCTGCACGGTTTGGATGTCAAACATAGCGGGAAAGTGTTCCTTTATTCTCTCTCCCCTTACCCAAATTGCTGTTTTGACTGCAATCATTAAAGGAATATCAAGAATTTTTTTTGGCAGCAGGTTTTAAAAAACATGACCTTAACAAGTCCTTTAATGATTTTGGACAAAATAATGACTCAATGAATTAATCTATTCTTCCTGTGCAAATGAACTGTTTCCAAATTATACACATATACAAACCACTTCACTCAGAACTGAAATATGGCCAGTCTTGCTCAGCTGCAACGTGGCAGCCACAGAGACAAACGATATAACTTTGCAGCTTGAGTAATCCTGGACAGGACACTAAGGCAAAGCCTTTCTCTTGCCGTCGTTTCCATGGTATCTTTAACACCCACATACAGCAAGTAGGACATTGGTTGTTAAAGTCTCATCCAAATAAATCCTACAAAGCAAATTGCATGGAACCCAATTTATCTACCTCGAAATGAAGTTTGCTGGGATTTCAACCTGTGGCTTCACGAAAAAAAACCCAGGCACTTCAAACCTGATGTGCAAATCATTCAGCCATTCTATCAGCTTTAAGACACAAATAGTAAATTTGAGACCATATGCATGCATATATATGTATCTAACTCTATGCATAGATAGCTGTACCTACATTTGCCTGAGATTCATCATGCCCATTGATTTCTGCTAATTCCTTGGCGCTTTTTAGCTGCAAAGAGTAAACAAAAAACAAAACAGAACAAAACAAGCACATTACTTGAGTATTTCACACAGTTATCTATGATTTATTTGAAGGAGCATTTTATAAAGCTTCCAATGAGAAAAACAGATGGAGCATATAATTCTAATGAGTTTTTGCTCAAACCATTTTGAAACCAACATACTTAAGGCTTGATAGGCTGGCAAAAAAAAAAAAAAAAAGGAAGGAAAATAATAAGACTGGGTCATTATTTTTTAAATAATAAGATCAGAAAGTAGTTTCAAGGCATAAAAAGTGTACAGAATTACCTCTCAAGAATAATAAACAATTTCATTTCCCATTCTTGTTGCTATTAATTTAAACTTTCCAATATTTGCGAGTTGCCATGAGCTAAATAGTGTTTTGCTAATGATTACTTTTGAATGATGTATTTTGAGCTGTTTAAGATGTGAAAGTGCTACTGTACCTTTCCTTCCTGAGGAAGCATCTAAATAACTGACATGGCTCCTGGGTATGACAGAAAAGGAGGTGAAGAGAAGAATAGCTCTTTTATTTGACCACTGGCAGGAAGAACTGAGGAGACACTGCCGATTCCAAACATAAGATCTGAACCAAAACTTTTTTTCTCCTCTTGAATTAGCTTTTCAGGGAAAATCCAGGATTACATTGGGGATTGTAAAAATCATTCACAAGGGATTCAAGGAATGCCCTAGCTCATGTCTTGAGCCACAGTGAAATATGAAGTCATTTATCCTGTGATTGAGCAAACATGGTGAGGAGGAGACACCGCAGCTCTCCCGAGCCTGTAAGCCGTGGAGGTTTGTACACTTAAATGAAGTGTTCAGAACCATTTACTCTTTAGATAAATCTCTGAAGAGTCATGCTTTTATTCTAATTTAATTCAGAGTAGATATCTGGTGTGGGGGCAAACAGGGAACAATAAACAGAACTTTCCTCTGCATTCCTTGTTTTTTTGCCAAAGAAGCTGAGGTTGATGTGACTATTGATGACACACAGCTGTGATCCTGAATGACAACAGTCCTAAAATCCAGGTGAAACGGAACACTATTATGTTTCGATTAGGTGTCTGACTCAGAAGCGTTGGCGGACTACCACCCCAGGGCTGCTAGGTTACCTCCACCATCTTCGTGCCTTGTGGCAGCAACAGCTAAACTGCGTGTGATTCAGTTCCCGGCTTCTCACAGTTTCCAATCTGACAATTAAGGTAAGCAGGCCACGGTCTCTGCGTACCTCGTTATGCAGGGCTGTAAACTGCACCAGTTCAGGGACTGCTGCTCAAGCCACTACACCAGTCTTGATGGAGAGGGAAGGGGGTGGCAATCTCTGATAAAGCAGTACGAAGGATAGCTGGGACCTGCAAACTCATCAGGTGTCCTGGTTCGATTCACTGATGCTCATCTCTCAATACCTTCCAAAAGTCTGCACAATTTATACTGACAGCAGGGTGACGCATTTCCAATGAATGCTACATGTTTTCCCTGCACTGGAAAAATAACAATCCTGTGAAACCCCTTCACTCTGAGGATGGCTCGTAGGAAGGAGTTGAGATGGCTACTTCCAGCTAAGCACCAAAGTTAGGTATTTCTGCATCGTGGTGTGACCGAAAGAGCCGTTTCCTGATCCTGCCAATTCTTCGTTATAGAAATTCACCTCACGTGAGCAGTCCTGTTGAGTTCAGCTGAATTGCTCATCTGAATATGGGGTCAGGAGAGCGTGCTCGGATATGTAAAACTGCTCTGCACGCTAATGCCACATCGTGAGTGCTCAATGAGTGCTGTTCATTACTTACCTTTCGCCTTTCCTTTTCCAGGTTGATGAAGTGCCGTCACCGCTTGGTGACTGCTGGCTTCTTGGGCAATCCTCTGCATGTGTTCTGCTGGTGACACACCACTCCCTCATCAGCCACATGCACATTTGATAGGAGAGTGGGCTCAGCCTCTAGCCTATGTTGGTCTGGCAGGCTTTCACTCCACCATGGTTTCCCACCCTAGCTGCCCTGGCACTGCTCCACCGGTTAATCCAACTCTAATGCAGATAGGATGCTCGAGCCTTTCCATCTCTTTTATTGTCTGCCACGCTCTGAAAAGGATGCCAGAGCTCAGACAAGAAGGTGCTAGCATCCACATCTACACTAGGACCACTGCAGTAGGAGATGGAGGTGGACATAATGGTGGAAAACTAGTGGGTAGAAAATGTGCAGCTGCATTCCCACAGGCTAAAGGGGTAAAGTCCTTTTTTTCCCAATATTGTTTTTTCTAAATTCAAATTCAAATTATACTTTTCTCTCACATCCTAAATAGTGAAATGTTGGAACAGAAACCTCAGAAAAACATACAATATTGAAAAACCAGGAATTGCCTTAACCCCTACACAAGATCCATGGCAGGTTGGTGGCGAGTGTGATGTTACCAGCAGAAAGCATGCTGAGGCAACACACTGAACTACTGCCAGTAACAACCAAAGGCCTGCCTAAATAGAAAAGGAAAGGAGAAGGGTTGAGGAGTCAGAAGTCTCTGATATGTCTAGTGCCACAGTAGGGTAAGTCTGTCTCTGACAACCAGAGCTGGTGGACATGGGCCAGATCTTATCCAGAAGCCTTTTGGCTACAGTAATGCAATATGGTGCACAAATAGACGGGACCTTTCTCAGGAGGATGTCCCAGCCTGGATGTGACTCAGCTGGTGCAACTGGATCACCATGAGATGCACTGAGCCAGCAGCCGTGCTCAGACACAGCTGCACCTCCCCATGAGAGCACACCCGTGGCGAGGCAGGGATCCCTCTGCCAGCTTGAGTTGAAAAGACAGATTTTAGCAAATGTACCACAAAACCAACCCAGGCAATCAAGGCAGTGTGCCTGGTGCTATTTATTTTTGAAAGAAATATTCATATTTACTTGACTCCACCAGATGATTTTCAATATCCACTGTGGATAAAACACACAGATGAGCTGTGGTGCTTGTAAAAGAAAGCTGTGAGCCTTGGCAAGTGGGGGTCATTACTGTTAGGGCTTCTGCTATTCTGGAAAGTTTTGGAACTGGTTCAGGGTTGCTGGAGAAGCACACTGGCTGCATAGTGCTCCTTAGGAATTCTGGCTACTTACAGCCTTGGCCTTAGGGGTGTTTCAGAGCTAATTCTCAAGAGAAACACAGATCCATCCTGCCTTTTTTCCAGCTACTGTTTCATCTGTCTGCCTAGCATGAGCGCACGTTTGATTCGCAATCAGTAGGAGTCTGCAGAGATTCAAAAGTCTGCCCTGGTGGTCCCCTAGCATCGTAAGCTCTTCCTATATGTTTTCGCAGCATTTAATTGCTACCAAGATATAAAATAACTTCATGGAATGTCATTATTTCTTTTTTTTTGGAAGTATTTTATAATGTTATACCTTGAATGCCATGCAAAAATGTAAATGAGATGCAATTAACTCAAGAGATCTGGTGGATTCTGTGTTTATAGAGGTTCTGTCACTACCAAATCCATTCTTCGTCATGGTATTTTGTGTAATACAGTCTTGCATCAGTTCTCATTTAGAAGGTTATCCTTGTACCATAAATGCTAAGAACATGTATCTGAATATAAAAGCTTTATTTTTTTCCAGAATCTAAATTATTAGTTTCTAGAATATACTTGTCACTAGGTATGTTCAAAGACAAGTGTTAAATGTGGAACAATGTCACAGCTTTCATAACGAGCATCAAAAAAATTCGAATAAGCGTAATTTAGTTTTCCTAATATGTTCATTAAATGTATAAATCTGTCTGCAGACATATTCAGACTTACACGCTCAAAAATCTGAACACAAGAATCATCAGTATCTCGAATCTCTGCCATCTAAGCAATTCAGATACCCCTGTCTCTAAACTGCAAATACTTAACTAAGTCACTAAACATTTTAGCTCAAGGTTTATATAGAAAGGATCAAAATAAAATCTCAAAACAGAGACTGTGCCTGTGCAGCACAGGTGGGGTTTTGACTTTGGTGTGTCCAAGCCACATAGTTTATACAGACAACACACATTTGTGCATGCAGTGCTTTCACACAATGCACTGTTTCATCTCCAGATTTACAGATTTAGCACCAGATTTTCTTTTTGTTGTATCACTATCCATCTTACCATACTGATAAAACAATACTATCAAATACACTTCTCAGTGTCACAGAACACCTTATATCAAAGGCAGCTATGATAATCAGATTTACAGAGGTTTGCTTTTCACTGCTTAAATAAGTGCACTGAAAACTACTTTTTTTTAATGCCATTATGCTAAAGTTTTTTGTACACTTATATCTGCACGAATAAACCAGAAGATGGCAAGCTCTTATTCTTCAATACTAGCCTTAAAAGAAAGAGCTGTTTTGTTTCAAATATGTTTACTTTTCAGGTATATTTAACTCTCTCAACATTTTTTTTTAATTCAGAGTAAAAACGCACTTCACTGATATCTATGTAGAATAACATAAGAGGAAATGTTACTCAAGATGTAAAATTCAATATTGAGTAGTATAAAAGTGTCTCATTTCACTCTGTTTCCCCAAATTCTGTGTTAGACTCAGCTGTGTTCACAAATGCTAATCAGAGCAGACACACAGGCCACATAAGGTTATGCCTTGCTCACAGCATAGTTTGTGGTCAGACTCCTATGGATTTTGGAGGTGAAGCCAGGAGTACTCCATCCTCTCAGCACGCCTCAGCCAGCATTTTTCTCCCACCAGAAGCACTCACCTGTTCTTGCAGGACTTTAAGCATCGCTTGTGTATGTGTTTGCTCTTCCTTGGCTTGCTCCAGTTCGGATTTTTTGTTATTTAATTCTTCCTGTATGCTCAGCAATTGCTGCACAAACAAAAGAAGTTTCTGGTTAGCACTGCCTGGATCCAAAGCTGCTTTAAATCCTCAGTCTGATAAATCCTCATTTCAAACAATGCTTTGCAGTCTGCTCCTACATTTATTATTGTTGCATAATCTGCTGTGCCTAAATGGACCAGAGGTAAATTATTTTCATCTGCATCTCCTTCTGCAGCAGAGCTCCACGAGTAATGCATCTGTTAATGTGTGTTAAGCTATTTGTTACATTAAAGCAGAAACTCCTGGTACAGTATATCACCCACAGAGCGACTGTCACATTCATCTGAACCAAAATCTTATTTGTAGAAGTATATGCGGCGGTTTTAATAATACTAGGGTAAACACTATGGTACATAAATAATTTAAAAGCACAGCCCTTTAATATAATTAGTCATTGGCCCACAGCCATTTTCATTCTACGCAAAACAATATTCTGGAAAGCTTTCACGCTGAGTTGCCAAGAAGACAAAAGCTTTCCTTTTTTTCCCTTGTGCTGTGATATTTTATTAGATCAGGAAGACTGACGCCCTACAATCAATATATCAGCCAGCAAGGCTGCTGATCTGAACTGTCAAAACAAAAAGCTATGACCAAACCCTATTTTTATGAAGAGAATTCTGGGATGTAAGGACGTCTTTAAAAGCTCACGTCCCCAGGTCTTGGCGAGCTTTAGGTTCTGCATAGATTTATTGTGACTGTCAAGAGCAGGTCAGTAGTTTTCATTAATTCTGAAATAATTATTTATTGTGGTATCGATGAACGTTAGACACTGCTGAAGAGCAAGAAGAGAGAAATGCGAGATGAAAAAGGCGTTTATGGTGCTTTTCTTCAGTGAACAAAAAAGAAACTCCAATTTGCTGGGGCAATATACTGCTTCTAAGCACACTCCCTTTTAAAGACTGCTTGAACGAGGAATTGCTTTACTAACTTGCGTTACTGATCTAACCACGTATTGAAGCATCTAAGGCTTAGTTTACGCTTGTGCTTAGGACTGGTATCTCTGACTCAAACCAATGTTTCAGCATCTTGTAAGTCACGGAGAGCAAGCCTAGAAATAGTCCCTGGCCTTGTTCCACCGCACTGGAAGTCCCAGGCATCAAAGGACTTGGCATCAGTATTGTTGCCAGAGCTGCTTGGAAACATATGACATTTCAAGGACTGACGGAGTTATTGGTAGTGTATTTCTGTTGTAAGTGAACGCCAGTATGATGGATTAATTCAGCCACTGAAGTAAAAATATATGTGGGTATATGTCTGACTATATCTCACACACTGTACAGTCCAGCTGTGGTAGCTTTTTGATAGATCTCGCCTCCTGGACTGCTTCCTGGGAGCCTTCAAGAGACATTCAGGTATGCGTATTCATGCTACCACAGCACAAGAGCATTTTAAATCTCAAGATTTTACATGAAATAACAAGGTTTGTTCCACTGAAGCTCTTGCCCAGCTGACTTTTGTGTGGGAAGCTCTCCTTCTGGCATTTCCTGACCAGGGATGGATTGCCACCTCAGGCCTGTGTTCATCTTGCCTGTTGGGTACTACTCCCTACATTTTCAGAAGATACACTGAATTCGTGTATACTGTCACACATGGACATCCATGGAGGTCTTTAGCACAGTTATAGCTTTCCAGACATTTCATAACTTTTTAGCCCAGAAAGGACCATTTGGTCACCTTGTGTAACCTCCTGTTATTACAGATCATTAAGCTTCAACTAGGATAGCTCTAGCAGATGCCTGCAATTTAGAAAGAAGAGACTTCAATCCTCAGAAGAGAAGTAGAGCATGCAAGACACCAGAAAGACAGTAAAAGCCCTTACTAGCTGAGACACCTGAAGTTTGGTAAGCAGATGTGTCACCTCCTTCCCAGGTGCAATCTGTTTGACCTTAAACATTCGAACACGAGAGTTGTTAAGAGAAAGGACTCTTTGCCCAACATCCCAGAATCTTCTCTGAGCAGTTATGTCTCACCAGTGTGGCCAGCCTCTGATGATTCAAAGGGAGAGACCAAAATGAATGAAACGATCCTCACACAAAGCCAGGAATGCATCTAGCCAATTATGTACTGGAGGAGGGAAGCACTTCTTTGCGTCTCCAGGCAATCAGCTGAAATCTTTAAGCATGGGATTTGATTATGATCATTGTCTCAGTGCAGTGCTACAAGTACTAGGAAGTCTGAGGAGGACTTCGCAAGAGATCTTGTTTGCTCCATAGCCTCTGAAGGAAGTGAGTAGCTGTGCATATCCAAGGAGAGCATCATCACCATGTAGACTGCACATTCATCCTGGTTCACAGATTTTGCTCCAGCTTTTGGGAGAAACCCTAAAGCCCATCCTTCTGAACAATATAAACCCCCATTTGGAACATCCAAAGTGAGTTTTCAGCCCCTCTCTGCCCCTGGAAAGCCTTTTCACTACTGAATGACTGTTGCAAATGGGAATCCAAGTTTCACATATGGGTTGGATTTGTTACACTTCCACCAGAACTGAAATCTCCTTCCCTATCCTACCCACCCCTCTCTATGGTTCTTCCATGGCCAAGTTCTACATACTGCAGATCAGCTCACAAACTTCCAGTTTTATTTTCACATCTCCCACTGCGACCTCCCACTGTGATTTAGTCCAATTCTATCCCTCTTCCTTTGATCCTGACTTTTTCTGGTTTGTGTTCATTGCGATTTTTCCAAAACTGTGCAGCATGGAAAGAAGTGCTGTGGAAAACACTCTCTGAGAGCACGAGAGAGAGATGCTCCCTCCTCCCTGCTCTGCATCTTTGTACTTAGCTATGGACCAGCCAGGAACAGGAATCCCAGGAAAACACCCAACATGCTCAGTTTTCCTGGGGTAAGAGAGTGCATTCTGGTTGCAGTATGAGCTTCAAAGCACTTGATACGAAATAAAACCTTCCAGCAATCTCAATGGTTAAACTGTCAACTACTGCAGGCTTACTCTGTGTGCGTAGGTTCATAGTTTCAAAGACAGCAAATGGGTCTTATTTTCCCGGGAGTGGAAAACAGTATCTGTAACTAAGGTTCCATATTCCCACTCACACATAAGGTTTTTCATTCACAGAACTGGGACCTTCCCATTTAACACCCAAAGATGTCAGAATTGTTTAAACCTTGTAGCCATCACCTGTTTAAACCAGAATTGTTTAAACCTTGTAGCCTTCTTTCTTTTTCTCTCCCTCATATTTATCTCTAAGAGTTGTAGAAACTGCTCATTTCGCATGGACAAGGCTCTAAGATTTCTTTTTCCTGGGTGGTTGATGCCGCCACCAGGAAGTTGTAACAAGGAGTTATACCTGTTGAAGAGCATATTTTTTTCCCTTCTAGTCTCATTTTGGAAAACAAAGAAACAGTTTTGCCTGAAAAAAATATCAGTTTAAGACAGATGAACAGCCTGAAAAATTTCAGCACAAACATGTCATGTTTGGCAAAATTAGAAGCAAATGGGAAAAGGATCTTATACTGGCAGGATGAGGCAAGTTTCATAACAGGGACTGCTGTCATGCCTGCTTATTAACAGACAGCCTCTCTGTAAAGATCATAATGAATGATGCCAAGATGATGGTGTTTAATTATTCAAAAATATTTTGTTTTTCACATAAATGTGCTTATTAAAAATTGATCTTATAGATATTTCTTCTGCCCTTCAGATTGCTTGCAAGTATACACCGCAATCAACTAAAAGAAAAAATTGTTCTTCTTGGTTTTAATGTTGCTGCTCTCTGATACTGTTCCACTTACTTTGCCATCTCATCATTTCTGCCAGAGCTTCCCCTGGTGCCCAACCACTTACAAAGCATTTGCTACCCCGCTTCCCACCTGTTATATCCTGCTGGCTTGTCTCAGAGCTACTGCCAGCACAGCTATCAAAGTATCTTTTCCTTCAATCTTGGCTCGCGTCTCTGGCCATTTCCTTTAAGCCCTGATGTCCCCAACTTTGTGGCACAGCCATGGCATTCAGACAGCAGTTCCCCTTTTTCCTCAGGCAAAGGAGTGACTTCTTGGTTGCACAGCCAGAAAACACCTGGCTCATTCTTCTGTTCTCTTCCAGTGGTCCACAGTGTGCAATGCTTTGGGCTTCTGAGGGTTCCCTGCAAGTTATGCAAGTCTCTTCCCTGAGCCAAAATCCCACTGTCAGGAAGCAGAAAAGCAACTCATTGCAGCTCTGAGGATTCTGGAGAGAGACACCTGCACAGCCTTGAGCTCCACCAGCACCAATCCGGAAGCTCAGCTGGTCTACGTGCGTCCAAATCCGTTTGTCACCATGGCTGCCAGGTTGACCCTAAGAGATGAAGCTGTGTAGTAGGTCCAGATCAGACTGGTAGACATCATTGATATCCTCTTACTGGCATTTCCAGAGAGGAGATGGGAAAGGAGAAAGAATTAACCTACAGGTTGTCTCTTCAGAAATCAATCAATGCATTTTAGACAAGAAAATGTAAGACAGATTGCTTGTTTCCAGTGGCAGCTCTGGAGCTGCTCCGTATAGAAATGGTAAATATCACTCTCCAGCGTTAAGCTCCCTTCATTCATAAGGACCAAATCCTCCCTGTACATAAGCGAGTAGTTAATTTCTTTATATGGGGGGAGGGGGGGAAGGCTGTGTGTGTTTTATTTTGTTTTTTTTCACACATTCCCACCTCTAATGCTGAATCTCTGTCAGAGACAGTTCAGTACCGCCCATACTGCGTAGACCTCAGAAGTGCAGACAGAAAATTACCGTCTTAAACCAATCTTCGCAGCTTCTGAAACATTAAATATAGATGGCATTATTGAAGCCAGCTGAATTACTCAGACTGTGTACAACGCAGTGCCAGCGTGGCCAAGAATGCTAACAGCCAAACAACACACAGTGCCTCGAAATACATGAGAAGCCCTGAAGGGAAAGTAATAGCTTGCTGTTGTGTACTACTGTGCAGCCATGAAATACTCCCTCTTTTTCCTCTCCTCCTCCCTGCTCACAGTTCTTTATCTCTCCCG